TCAAGTCAAGGAGAGTACGGGGCCGCCGCATGGTGTCGTGAAGCATCAACTGACCTTAGGAACCTTACTTGACCATCCTGGCCTCTTTAGGGGTAGTGAGATGACTGACTTTGGTGCAGTCCGAAGTTGGTCGATACTCTATACTACACTCATTGAGGGTTGTTTTCTTGGAATATTTTGATCGCCAGTTCAGTGGCTAAATCAAAACAATGAACACAGAAAACAACCCTATGATATTGAGCTCCTTAGAACCCGATTACTTTTGATAGGACAGGTTTTGAGCCCACCAACTTCAAGAGGGTAGTACCCCAAACTTCAGGTTGGCCTAAACTCTAAGGGTTGTGGTGTGACTTGTGTTCCTTATCATGTTTGCTTTTTGTGAATACTTGTGGTGTGCTCTTATCATAGAATCATAACATCATACAGCATCATATGCATCCACTAACCACTTCAAGGGTTCGAATCTTCATCTTTGTTCTTGTTTTGTAGGACATGGAAACTATCCACAGAAAGACAATTCATATCAACCTTGTAAGGATCCCTCCTCAGCTTAAGGAGCTTACATCCAGGATTCCCGAGAACTCTTCCTTCAGTGAAAGGCATGGTAGACTCATCAGCTTGGTCAATACCAACATTGAAGAAGATATGATAAAAGTGTTGTTCCAGTTCTTTGATCTCTTGCATCACTGTTTTACTTTCCCGGATTATCAATTGGTGCCTACCTTGGAAGAGTTTTCTCAGCTTCTGAAGGTTCCCATTCTCAGTCAACTACCCTACAACGGTACGGAAAAGGAACCAAAACTTGAAGAGGTTGCTAAAGCATTATTCCTACAACCATCTGACATCAAGGGACACTGGGAAATCAGGAGTGGTATCAAAGGATTCTTGGCCAAGTTCCTGTTTGAGAAGGCCCAAGAATGTTGGAATTCCCTTGACCTACAAGCTTTTGAAGAGGTTGTGGCACTCCTTATCTATGGGTTGGTGTTGTTCCCGAATCCGGATCAGCTTATAGATATCAATGCTGTCAAGATCTTCATGTCCAGGAATCCTATACCTACGTTGCTTGGGGACATCCTCCACTCATGTTACACTCGAACCATGAGAAAAAGAGGTCTTCTCATGTGCTGCACTCCTCTCCTGGTAAGGTGGTTTATTTCGTACCTTCCACAATCAGTTTTGAAGAACGAGCGGGGTTTGAGATGGTCACAACGATTAATGACTCTTACACATGCTGATATACATTGGTGTTCTCGGTCCAGAGAGAATGTCACTATCATTGATCGTTGCAGGGAGTTTCCTAATGTTCCTTTACTTGGAATTAGGGGGGCATTACTTACAACCCATGCCTGGCTTTGAGACAATTTGGATATGCTCGGAGGGATGGCCCTCATGACATGTTGATTCCTGACATAGTTTTTGACTTCGACAATGATGCACAAGGACTTCGCCAGAGATTCATCAGAGCTTGGAGGATGCCCAACAGGGTAGATAGCAAGACACTAGGGCACAAGAATTCCATCCCCCTGGAACCTTATCTCAAGTGGGTACGAGCCCGCTCCCAGAAGCTGGTGATGCCATATCCTCATGTTCTCCCCGTGATCAAAGAGCCAGTTTTGGAAGGAGAGGTGCCCTACACCATTCAACATCCTGACATGCCAACATCTTGGGAAGAAATGCAAAAGAGCTGGATCCAAATCAAGGAAGAGCGGAATTCTCTTGAAGCCAGTTTACATGCCAGTGAGAAGAAGGTCTTGGAGCTCACCCGTCTACTTCACGAGGAAAAGACTCTCAACACTTACATCGCTCCAAAGAGGATGCGCAGTGTCTTTTGGGATTAATTATTTTGTAATGTTTTGCCCATGAGGCCCTGATGTACTGAACAGATTATTTCCTAATACAATGTGTGTTCCCTTTTTTTGTCTACAACGAATTTGAACTTTCGAACCCTCGAATGCATTGCATAAATAGCATATCATGCATCATGTGCATAACAGGTACCCTTTTTCTACAGGTTGCTTAATCTTCTTCGCTGTTTATTTCAGCACTCAGTCATCATGAATCCTGAACCTACTACAGAGCAAGCTATCAAGGCCCTCCAAGCCCAGAACGCCCAGTTTCAAGAGCTGGTCATGAGCTTAGCCCAAGGGCAACAGGAGTTGAAGGCTTTGCTCCTGAAGAAGAAGAAGAAGAAGAGGACTGTGTTGTTCAACACTAGACGCAGACTCGGGAATACACTGCAGAATGAAGCTGAGCTGACTACTCCATCTGTTGGGGAAGGCAGTCACCAGGAGGGAGGGGTCCCTAGTCCCATGGTCTCTGACACCGAGACAGATTTCAATGATGAACAGTACCCTCCTGCCGAGGACCGGTACAAACAGCTAGAGGACCGGTTAAATGCTATGGAGATTCAACGTGTGCCTGGGTTGGATTTTGGAGACTTAGGGTTATCTTCTAGGGTGGTGATCCCACACAAGTTCAAGGCGCCTGCCTTTGCGAAGTACGACAGGGCTTCCTGTCCTAAACTGCACCTCCGTTCTTACGTAAGGAAGATCCAGCCTTACACTGCAGACAAGAACTTATGGATCCATTTCTTCCAGGAGAGTCTTTCAGGGACTCATCTCGAATGGTTCTATCAGCTGGATGGAACCAACATTCGTAACTGGGAGGATTTGGCTACTGCTTTTTATAAGCAATATCAGTATAATTCCGACCTCGCTCCCACGCGTACCCAACTCCAGGGTATGTCACTTGGGACGGGTGAAGGTTTTAAGGAGTACGCGCAGAAATGGAGAGACCTGGCTGGCAGGGTGCAGCCACCGTTGACTGACCGTGAACTCGTGGACATGTTCTTGGGGACCCTGTCTGGTCCATTCTTCAACCACCTGATTGGTAATTCCTCTATAGGGTTTACAGACCTGATCCTGACTGGTGAGAGGATCGAAGCCGGTATCAAGTTGGGGAAGATACAGAAAGGTGCCTCCTCGAGTACTGAAAAGAATCCCTTCAAGAAGGAAGCTAGTGTTGTTTATGGTCCCAGAAGACAAAATAAACCGGAACACCGCCAAGCTGTCAACGCGGTGGTAATTTCAAAGCCTGCTACTGCTCCTCAGCAATACAACCAGCCGAGGGTTGAGAGGCCCAAAAGGCAGTACACTCGGCTCAGCATGACCCTGTCACAGATATTGTCGCAACTGCTGTCAACCAATCTGGTAACTGTCAAGGAAGCTCCAAAGGTTGTGAACACAACCTCTCCGAAGTACAACCCCAACACCCGCTGCGCTTATCACTCTGACAGCCCGGGGCATAACACAGATGATTGTTGGGCTCTGAGGAATAAGGTTCAAGACCTTATTGATGCTAAAGAGGTACAGTTCGAGGCGCCCGAGAGGCCTAATGTGGTGACAGCTCCCATGCCCAACCATGGAGTAAATGCTATTGGGGATGATGACGAAGTGGAGGAATCCGAATTTGACAGCTGGATCTACCCGACAACCAATGGTAGACCAAGCAACTGGACTGCAAAAGACTCCATACCTATTACTTTTGTCACTCAGTAATGAACTCCTTTGTTTTGGATTTGTAACGAACAATAATTACTAAACTTTATGGCCCGGTGTCTTACCCGGGGCACCGTGGCTTCATTTATGAGGGCTTGTTATTTGTCACTTTATATATCATGAATAAAAGCATTGGACGTTTTTCACATTTCAAATCTTGCGCTCCCTTTCTTTCTTTATATATTGCAAAACAACTATATTTACACACACTCACTTATACAGGTTCCAATCCACTCTGGATCTCACTGGTAACGACTCTGCTACTGCCAGTTATGACTTCGAAAATCCGATCAACTTGGGCGAAGACGAAGGTGAAGATGATTGCGAAGTGCCTGGTGAGCTGGCAAGACTGCTACTCCAAGAAGAGAGGGCCATTCAGCCACATGAAGAGCCAGTGGAAACGGTAAATCTAGGTACTGAGACAGACAGAAAGGAAGTCAAGATTGGTTCCAATCTAGAGCTCAGTGTGAAACAACGGTTGATTCAGATGTTGCAGGATTATGTGGAAATCTTTGCCTGGTCCTACAAAGACATGCCTGGGTTGGATACTAACATTGTGGTTCATCACCTGCCTACCAAGGAAGACTGCCCTCCGGTTAAACAGAAGGTCAGCCGTATGCGTCCAGATATGTCCGAGAAAATTAAAGTTGAGGTTATGAAACAATTTGACGCCGGTTTTCTAGCAGTGACTTCTTACCCTCAATGGGTTGCCAACGTGGTTCCAGTGCCGAAGAAAGATGGTAAGGTCCGAATGTGTGTTGACTACAGGGACACTACAAGAAAATTGGCAGATTGCGACAGGTATTTTTGTAGATTACGACGGTTAAAACCGTCGCAATTTGCTTTCCACGACGGTTGCTTTACCGTCGCAGAAGTGTGTGTCCCCAACCTATTTCGCGACGGTTACAAAAACTGTCGTTCAAGTTTACGACGGGTTGATACCGTCGTGACTATCTTTTGAGTTTCTTTTAATTATTGATGGCGACGGTTCGATACTGTCGTGAATATCTTTTGAAATTGATTAAATTGTTTATGGCGACGGTTCGGTACTGTCGCCATGACTTTTGTTTATGTCTTGATTTTTTTTTATTTTTCTATTATATATATTTTTTATTTAAATTATTATCTATGTAAAAAATTTTAAATATAGTTTTTTTTTGTGTTCTTTTTTTCTTTAAATTATTTCTTCTTTAATATATTTATTTATAGTATTATTTTTTGTTTTATTTTCTATCACTTTGTAATATAGTAAAAATAATTTCAATAAAAAATATTTAACATCAAATAAGCATTATAATATCCAAAAAAATGTGTGTTCCATAATCATGTAAAATGCGAGTTCCATAATCATGTCAAGTAGTACAAAAAACCCAAAATATATCAATTCCTAATCTTATAATAATAAGTATCATTATGCCAAAAATACATGAGAAAGTTCACAATCTAATTATCTCGATCATAGCAAAGTCTAATTTGTCCCCCCTGAAGTTCCATTATCTCCAATACGGTAGCTAGACTCAGATGAACGTCTACCATCAGCGGGTGATTCCAATCCCTAAAAAAAGGTATTAAAATAATAATCTTTAAAATAATACTCATAAAATTTAACTTTAAATGCGTCAAATTAATATATCTGTCTTCCATTGGAATAGAGTTAGCAGTACCTCATGTAAAGGAAGGTTCAACCCAAGTTCAGACGAAGTTGATCGCAAATAATATCATATATGTAGCGGTGTCAGTGTCCTATGTTTTTTACATTAACAGTATCGGAGTGTCTGTGTCGTGTCCAAGTGTTCATGTCGGAGTCCGTGCTTCATGGGATTTAATACTTACATGTGTTCATATGTTATAATCTTGACATGAAAATCCTCCATAACCTTGAGTACTGTGGGACTTGTCTCAGAAAAGAATAGCTCCAAATTCATTTTCTTAAAATCTGGAACATTTTTTTCAAGTTGCGCCACCTAGAAATTGAAAACACAGTTATTAATGTAAAAAGAGTAAATTACTTATTTTTAAACCAAAAATTAGTTGTCCATTCAAGTAGAGCAAGGGTTGCATCAATGTTATACTTCATATTGAATAAGTGCCTCCAGGGCTGCAATTTTTGTTTTTTCCCACTTTGTGCCATGGCTAGAGGTAACTAAATCCCAAAGATTTAACAGCACACTCTTTGATGCTTCTGGATATGCTTCTGCGTCCATTGCACCCCACCTTAGCAGAAGGCAAGTGCTGCCATAAGACAGGAAGTGACTTTTATTCAGGATAACAAATGAATATTTGGAAACATATATTAATCAAGGGGAGAAAACAATTCCATCGAAGTCTGATACAGACGTAAAGTTCATTACCTAAAAGAAGTTCTATAAAAAAACCCAAAAATTTTAAAAACCAAATGAATGACAAAAGCCCAGGATTTTAAACTTCAAATATTTTAGGCACTAAACCATGCCTTCTATTCTTCTGGATAAAATTAAACCACCGTCGATGTTATAGTTAGTCTCACAATATATGCCTGATTAGAGCCTTAGACATGCTTACCTATGTGCAATAATAGGATCACCTTTATAACCTTGCACGTGCTTTGCAATGACATCCCATGCAGTGTAAAAATCTAGACACATGATACAGTATTCCCTTTTAGAAGGCTTACATTTTACATTAAAAAAGTAAAATAAAAGTAGGCAATCTACTATGAAGACTTCATGAATAAGTAAACATTCCTTAATATGTTATTATTTTGTTATATATATTTTGATAGTGACATCCATTACCAATCACATCTGCTTCACAAAGGTGGACAAGGCTTTGCAAGCCGAGAGCTTTAACTATAGGATCTTGACACTCAATGCAAGACTGTTTTTATTCAATACAAACAAGTATTTCTTAGGAAAAAAACACATGCACTGGAAAGGGAGAAAAAAGAAAAGCGCCAGGCATACCGAAACAGTCAAGATAAGATCAACACCCCTATCAGGGCTTTTATGGCAAACATCTCGGATTGAAGCAGCCAAACTGATACAGATAGCTCTGTCTGATGTGAAATCAGTGAAACCTTTTGGAAGCAAGACACCCTAGACATGGAGAAAATATAATAAATTTAGGAAAAGTTTGATATGGTAAGACCTTGAAGAAACAGCAAGAAACCGTATTAAAGAGTAAACAAAATTGGTAACTCAACAGCAAAAGGCTTTGAAATAGGCAGCCCAGAAAGAAAATACAGGAAAACCAAAAGTTATCAGATTGCAAGTAAAACTAGTAAATTTGGGCAAAACTTTTTATGACCCTGCACTAGTCAACAATACAGTATACTGGTGCGGAAAAAGTGCAAATTTGTTGTCAGAATGGAATGCTGCTACTGCGTCAATGTGTTCAACCTTCCTTAAAGATAATTTTTAACAAACATTCACAGCTTTTGATTCATCGTGTGAACAATTCCATTTCTTTTTTCAGTTGTCATTTAAATAGTCTCATCTTCTGCAAAAAATAAACATAAATATGCATATAGAATACACCCATAGTAATATGTGGTGGCGTGAGAAGTACAAGAAAGTGTGGAATAAAAAGCTCACTTGTAAACTTCCAAAGGCTCTATCATTGATCTCCCAAGTTCGACACAGCAATCGAGTTCCCGTAGCATACAATGAGCTGCATTTTGGGAGAAACATTTAAAGAAGAAATGCATTGGTTTCAATATTTTAAAGGATACATGAGGACCAAATTTGAGTTCTACAGCCAGAATAAAAAATGAGAACCAAAATGAATTCTCTATCTTAAAACCAAACATCATCTTATTAATGAAGTGAAAAGAAACATTCAGCTGTACAGTCATATTTAGAGTTCCAAATTTCAAAGAGCACTTTTTTATGGCATATGAGCACAGCTACAGATAGAACAAATCACTCGCAAAGAATATGTAAAACCAGTAACACTTCTGAAAATAATCGATAAGAATAGCAATTATGCACAAAATTTGGCCTTTATTAACACTGATGCTTAATTTCAGAATTTTTAAAAAAGGGACCTCAATGGTACAACATGGTTGAAAACAAAAACAAGATACGCAAGGCAACACTAATACAAAAAAAATTTAAAAAAAAAATATTATACCAAATAAAATACACAATTTAACAGAGTACCCACCCTTTTGCATCTCTGTTAAGCATTGGCAAGATTGTTTGAACTACAAGTGGAGTCATTGCTGAGTGTGAAGCAAGTGATGGCAGCATTTCAAAGATTTTTAGTTGCAACAAGATTTAAAAATAAGGTACGGAAAAAAATTATACAGACATAACAATTGACAGAGACAACAGAACAAGATAATGCCACACAATAAGTGCCATTGCAAAAGGGAGGACTTACCAGCATATCATGGCAAATGATATCATTTCTTGTGAATATATTACTGTAGAACATAATTGCTAGCAACAAAGGAACTCCTAGTTTGGGATCCATAATGGCAATGGAAGACAGCGAGTCAACAGCAGCAGCCCCCATCGATGGATGTATCAACAAAACACTGAGAACAGCACTGAGTAAGGGTGTCTCTGCAAGGGAAGACATTGAGCTAATATTAATCTCTTACATCATTACATCATTTAACACAACTATGCTAACTAACGCCATTTCCAAAAGCTAAAGGGTTATACCGGTTAAGAATAATTCTTGAGGAAGCAAGAGAGGCGATGTAGATTTCCGACGCTCAACAATTGACAAACAGAACCCTCTTAGATGAGAAGCCCATGATATTGGTTTATCATGCATTACTTCATTTTCATGCGTGCCCTTTAAAGCCAGATTCAGAAGGGAAATTCTGGAAGAAGATTCTCCATCCTGAAACAACATAAGCATAAAATTTCTAAACTAAAATTATTGCTGGGTGCAAAACTATAATTAGTATTGATTCTCAATAATTGGATGCCCTCTTTGTAAGCACAAAACATGCAAATTTGCATATAATCATATGTTCATTCAGAGCAACAGCATACTAATGCTTCCATCCAGAACAGAAATAAATATCATTTGTTGAGATAATCTACATAGTATTTTAAACAGGAAAAATCTGATATGCCAGACAAAATACCTGATACCACAGATGTCGCAAAAGTCTCAACACTATAATTCCAGGTGTGCTAAGATAATGAGTTTCCTCATCAATGATTGGTTTATGTCTTACGGCCACCAGCATCTTGAGAAGGAGCTTCTCCAAGATGAGAAGCAAATCAGTAGCCAGTGCTTTCACATATTTAGAAGGAGATGACATGAGGCTGACAAAGGGAAGTAGAAACAAAACCTCTTCAAATGGAGAAGACGTATTTGTGGCAATAGCATCATCTGCATAGACAATTATTACAATAAATAAATAAAATGATGAAATTGAGGGTGAGCTTCAAAGGAGCATAAGTACATGGATCATTTTATGAATTTAAGCATGAGAAAATTAGGGCACAAATAAATGTTGCAATAGAAGATAGTTTTGTGTCCAAACTATATAAGGTATTCAGAGTCCTTAAAGACAGTTTGTATGAAATTATGAAATATGAATCCCAGGGGTAGATTACTTAGGACTCAGGAAAATTTGAAAATTTTAAGTGTTTTCATTTCAGTAAAAGAAATCCATGCTTTTGTCCACATGAGTTCAATTTTAACGATTGCATAAACCCTAAAACTGGCATAGCTATAATAAAAATTCACCCTTATCGTATTTCCACTTCAGGATTAAGAGGAGGAGTTTAGATATAGAAATTTGTTCATGCTCAAGTTCTGATTGAACAAGGATTGTAAATAATGACGCCATAATCGTTGACAGACCAGGCTCCCATTGCAAACCGAGATCTTTCTGAACAGAACACAATCGCCTTGAGAGTTCAATTATGGGCTCATAACCACCAGAGTGCCACTGAAGACACGTCAACAGAGACAGAACTGTTCCCAGGAATTCAACAGCATGTAGTTGAACCTCGGCAATCAGCTATTAACAAGGATCAAGATCAATACAAGAGAAAGGCATAAATTACATTAATAATAATCAAGGAAACTAAATTATGACAACAGTGAATACAAATGTGAACATTAAATTACAAGGACGATACATACCAATTTCTCTCCGGCCAGAGACTTAAGTACCACTATATACGCCTCCACCATATGTTCTACAACAAATACTAATTTCCTATAGTCCTGAGGAGTCCCAAAAAGAATACAGCTATAAGATAATTATATCATTTCACCTACTACAGTAACAAAATGTAATGACCAGAAAAATGTGTAATTTAACCAATATTTCTGATGCTCCTTCTCAATATTAATAAACTTACTTCAGAGGTCTCATGTGGAAGATACTTAAGGCACTCCATTAGCAGCATAAGAACAGGCATGGACTCACTCGGACACGAGCAACAGAATGATGCCATAGACGATACCAATTGCAATCCAAATGAAGAAGAGGGTGACTCAGAACCTAACAATCTTATGATCGAAAAATCCAGCAAGGGCTTTAAAAACTCACAAACTTGTACCATACCCAAATGCTTATTCTGTAACATAAACAACAACACTTGCTGCAGGAGTTCAGACTGAACTTCCACCCGACAGGACAACATCTGTCAAACATCAAGACACAACAGTTAAATTAATAGTTCAATAACCATACTCAGAAGAAAAAAAACTTGCTTCTGAAACTAAATTTACTTTTCCAAACGGACTCAAATAATTCACCAAACATATCACAAAAACTCAATTTCTGTGGTCAGAGTATGGAAAATCAAACATGCTCTCAGTTTGCTTGCACACCAAGGTTCAATTGTTCAATAAGTCATTTCTTGGTATGCTTTCATGTAAATTAAAAACACCTTCACAAACTTTCACTCATACATTATATAGCACTGACACTTCAGATGAAAGGCGTGTCTGGCATTTCACGAATATCATTTGGAATACTTCTATTTTCAGTGTTTCATTTCACATTACATTCTGTTATGATGCAGTAGCATCTATGTATAGGCACAGCTAACCATAACTAACTCTCTTATGTCAGTTACAACAGCTGGCTACAGCTGGCAAGCTTAACTCTAGCACATGTCTAAAAGCTAACTAATGCAATAACCAACTGACTAATCTAACAAGAGTGATTCCAGACGCATAAAATTATAACTACAATATAGACCAATTTCATTATATGAGTAGTTGCTTTTAGTTGTGTTTGCCTAAGGTAGTAGGTTTGGAAAAGGTAACAGAAGAAAGGAACTTTAATTCCACATACTCAAGAAAGGTATTACTGTTTAGCAATTTGAAATTCAAACACAAACATTAACTACAAAAAAAAAGTATATATGAATCTTGGGATTGCCTATGAATATTGACATTGGAATATCAAAAATATTTCTTTCCATTAAATGAATGGTGGTCCAAATGTTGTGATGAAACCTTCCTTCAAATAAAATACCAAACTTCAAGCTTTTATTTTTCCTTTGTCTTCAACTACCACCAAAACAACAATTCAACACGATCAATTTAGGATTCAACAAGTCCTTGAAGTATCACACAATATTTAAAAGAGACAATATCTTGTAAACACAATACCGACTTTAAGGATTCAACGAAGTCCTTGAGATCTCAGGTTTGCTGTCTTACTCTCCACCATTGTTCTTCCATCCTGAGGAAATCAAAGAAGTTACATTGAAGATATATAACAATCATCGATGCGCACTATCAAACACATGAAATTCAGATAAACACATCATAAGCCTTCTTACTGATGTTGTTTCCTGACTATTTGAAGAAGAAATGCTAGCAAAAGTATGCACAGTGACCTTCCCCTGCACTGAATTCCGAGCATGTATTACTTATGAATGCCTCTTCAGACATGAGTGCAAAACATTGAAATACATTCAATTTGCATGGAAATTTTCATTATAACTATGTCGATTCAACTTTAATTTCAATATAATTACATACATTTCATTCAAGTACATCATAACCTAATAACCCTATTTCTGGTAAGCAAAAATCATATTCATAAGATTACCAGATTTTAGATTTTGGTGAGATTTAGAAGCAGCCCTGGTGACATGAGAAGATGAAGAGTTAGCAGAAACGCGAAAAGTCCCAAAAGCGAAAGGCTTTCTTCTTGTGAAGACGTTTTTTGAGGAGGAATGTCCCAGAAACAGAGGTTTAGGGGAAGAAACAAGGGCTAAGTTAAGATTCTCCATTTCGAAGGTATGAAAACCGAAAATTGACGAAACTGAGAAATTGGTGGTGGTTGTGAGATGAGGGAGCGAAAGAGGTTTGAAAATTTTGGAGGAACTGAAGATAGTTGAGAGTGGTCTGTGGCGGAATGAGAGTTTGGGTTTCGGGTTCCTTGTTTGCGGTAGGGATAAGTGAAAAATAGCAATTTATGATTTGGAACTTGGATTGCTAGAGAATATACTAGCAAATAAAATGCAAGGTAAAAAAGTTTTTTAAAATGGGAAAAATGAAACACTGGTCTTTTAAAAATATAAAAAGAAAAACCAAAATCTATTTATCAAAAAACTCCATAAAAGTCCATGTGAGTTACCTCACTTGGATGGGATATTCCTAGATCTTAGTAAATATGAGTGGTTAGGGTGGCTCACGGTGGTAATAAACTTTATTTAGTGATATTTATAATGTTTACGGAGTAGAAAATGAATTGATGTTTTATGTATTTTAAGAGCTTTTTAACTTTTTTACGGCGACGAGTGTTTTACCGTCGTGCCCATGAGAATTTTTAAAGGTTTTGGGTGCGACGGTTGTTTTACCGTCGTGAAATGAATTTTAGGACGGATAATTTTACCGTCGTGAAAGGTTTAAGGGTGCGACGGGTGCTTTACCGTCGTGATATGCCTTTTAGGACGGTTAATTTTACCGTCGTGACTAGTTGTTGGTGAAAAATCAATGTTAAAAGTGTTAAATGGGGGCCGACGGTTGTTTTACCATCGTAATAATAATATTATGATGGTTAAATATACCGTCGCAAAATAAATATTAGGGACGGTTGGTGTCAACTGTCGTAAACACTGTCTCTATATGTCAATTACGACAATTATCACATAACTGTCGCAATTTTTGTGTCGTTAAACACTAATTTTCTTGTAGTGGGATTTGAACAGGGCGAGCCCCAAGGATGACTTCCCTCTGCCTCACATCGACGTTCTGGTTGACAATACTGCTCAGCATAAGGATTTCTCCTTCATGGACGGCTTCTCCGGTTATAATTAGATCAAGATGGCTCCTGAAGACATGGAGAAGACCACTTTTGTTACTCAGTGGGGCACCTTTTGCTACAAGATCATGCCTTTTGGGTTGAAAAATGCTGGGGCAACCTACCAACGTGCCATGGTTTCTTTATTTCACGACATGATCCACCATGAGATTGAAGTATATGTCGATGATATGATTGCAAGGTCCCAAACTGAGGAGGAACACCTTGACCATCTGCAGAGGCTGTTTGACCATCTGAAGTTGTACAAGCTGAGGTTGAACCCAAATAAGTGCACCTTTGGGGTGAGATCAAGAAAATTGCTAGGTTTCGTTGTGAGCGACAAAGGTATTCAAGTGGACCCTGCCAAGGTGAAAGCCATACAAGAGATGCCAACTCCCAAAACAAAGAAAGAAGTCAGAGGCTTTCTAGGACGGCTGAACTACATTGCCCGATTCATCTCACATCTAACCGCTACCTGTGAACCAATCTTCAAGCTGCTGAAGAAAGATCAAGTAGTACGTTGGAACGATGAATGTCAGGCCGCTTTCGACAGAATCAAAGAGTATCTCCAAGAACCACCCATTCTTATGCCACTGGTTGAAGGGAGACCTCTAATCTTATACATGACAGTACTGGACAACTCAATGGGGTGTGTGTTGGGGCAGCATGACGAGTCTAGCCGAAAAGAGCACGCCATTTATTACCTTAGCAAAAAGTTTACCGACTGTGAGACCCGATACTCGCTGCTCGAGAAAACTTGTTGCGCTTTGGTATGGGCTGCTCGCCGGCTGAGACAGTATATGTTGACTCACACTACTCTATTGATTTCTAAAATGGATCCGATCAAGTACATATTCGAAAAGCCCGCCTTGTCCGGAAGAATAGCAAGATGGCAGATGATCTTGACGGAATATGACATCCAGTACACGACTCAGAAAGTAATCAAGGGAAGTGTATTGGCCGACCATTTGGCACACCAGGCAGTGGATGACTACTAGTCCATGAACTTTGAATTTCCAGACGAGAATATCATGGTAGTGACTGATTGTGAAGTACCTGGACCGGATGAAGGACCTGAGGAAGGATCCCGATGGTCTATGCACTTTGACGGAGCCTCAAACGCTTTGGGTAACGGTGTTGGCGCTGTGATCATATCTCCAAAAGGCACTCATACTCCACTCACTGCCCGGCTATGTTTCAACTGCACCAACAACATGGCAGAGTATGAAGCATGTATCCTGGGTCTTCAAGCTGCAATTGACTTAAGGATCAAGTTTCTGAGTGTTTTCGGAGATTCCGCTCTCGTGATCAATCAGATCAAAGGCGAGTGGGATACGAAACACCGAAATCTTATTCCTTACAAAGAGTGTGTGTTGACATTGATCCCCCATTTCACGAAGATAACTTTTGAACACTTCCCAAGAGAGGAGAATCAGTTAGCGGACGCGCTGGCTACGATGTCTTCTATGTTCAAAGTCAAATGGGACAACGAAGCTCCCCGGATCATTATCTGGAAATTGGATGAACCTGCTGTTTACCGTGGAAATTGGTAAACAACCGCTGATCTTCCAAAAGATTACTTATTTGGTGACTCGCAGGATCGATCAGATTGATCCTAAGACATGGTTGATTTTTTGGGGTTTGACTAAATCTAATGATGATTAATGCCAGTAAAGTAAAGACACTTTATGTAAATTGCATGAAGAAAAGCTTGATAGAATAAATGAAAGCGTTAAATAAAAGGCTTCGACGGAGATGAGTAAATGAAAGGCAATAAAGTGCTTGAATATAAAAGACTTTGATTAATTTAAATGGTGTTTCACACATACATTCTCAACAATTCTTTCGCTCACACTGGGTACTTGAATCTAGATGAGTGACTTGTATATAATGATGAACACACGCGAAAAATACGTGAACAACTAGTATTTATACTAAAACACATCTTAAGTAACCGTTGGGCAGTTACGTCGCTTCGAGATGACACCACATGGCACGCTCACAGCATTCGACGCTCCTGATCTTGGCACGTTGCGTTTGGTAACTGCTGGGAACTGTTTTCCCTCCAAACATTCGAATCTCAAACCGTTCCACCCTGGGCATCAGATACCTTTGTCGAGAAGTTCCTTCAACGTTGAAGGTAACAAGATTCCCACTTAAAAGAAACTCTCTAAGTACCTTGCCATTTTCTGATGAGCATTCGACAGGATCAGCTGGTCGAAACCTGGAAACTCTTCAAACTCATAATTAATGGTCTATATTGATAACAAACAAGGGTGTCGAATTTAGGAGCCAACAAATTGCCCCCCAAGAATGCCTTATTTCGAATCTAAAAAGAAAAAGGCATTCTTTGAGATTCCACCCGACACCTGTCCTTCATTCTTAGCCACAGATTAGCTCGTGCGCTTTTCGTCTCCTACCAACCAACTGACAATCCCAAAAAGCCATCATTCCAACTGTTCCTAAGACGTCACTTCAGTAAGGCGTTTGGCATGCCCAATGTCTTTTCACAGATTGTCATCATGACAATTCCCTGAAATCGAGGACGCACGCTGCACCATTTCCGTTCTGCAGAACGACTACATCAGCAAATGAGCACCACGTGCCCCACTATTGTCTGAAACATTAAATGACCTTGAGTTTTGTGATTTTCCAATCACTATAAATAGCGCTAAGTGCCCCTCGTGGGACTTTTCACGCTTTCTTCATCCAAGCCTTAATATTGAACAGAAATTTCTGCAAAAAACTTTGTTCTTCATTCATCTTCATCTCAACCCAAAAAATGGCTTCAGGTTCTCGTTCTTCCAATGTCCCCAGTTCTAACACTCCCTCTAAAACTGCCCAACCGAAAATCTTTTCAACTGTTCTAACAGTTAACTCCAAAGGAATGCGAAGGGTTCCCGAACCCTTGGGAACTGCTGAGCGTGAGACTTACTCTTCTCAACTGCTGATTCCTGTTGGATACTCCAACCAGGTTTTCGCCATGTCTGGTCCTCTATCTGCATGCATTGCTGACCCAACGAAGATCAAGAGCTTCTTCCCAGTGCTTGAGGCACTCAATCCCGTTGGGTTCTCCAAAAAGGCTACAGACGACAACGAAGATCCTGCAAAAGAAAAGATAGATCTTCGTTTCTTCAACAGAGGGGTTAGGGCTTTTAGGTCTAGCCCTAGCCTTACACCAGACTACAACGCTTGGCTCGACAAGATGGAAAAAAGCCAGGCTTCGATTTTGAAGAACATGGGGATTTATGACCTAGTCATGCTGTCGAAGACTGGTCTCAACTACTCCCCTGAAATGTTGGTAGCTTCTTTGCTATTTTGGGACTATACTCACTTCACCTTCCACCTGCCTTGTGGAATGGTAACACCCAATATCTTCGACGTGGCCGCCATTACCGGTCTTCGACCAACTGGGGATTACTTTGACCCAGAGGAAATGTCTGAAGACCAGATTGGGTTTTCAGCTACCAAACCCACTTACACCACTTACATCAACCACTATCATGACAAATCGACAGCTACGGTGACGGACGTGGAGAACATTGCGTTTCTAGCCCTTTGGCTGTCACGCTTCGTGTTCTGCACGAAATCTCTACAGGTGACGAAGAAAATGGTCACCCTTGCTACCCAGCTTCACCACGGTCAAAACATTTGTTTGGCCGAATTAATACTGGCGAACCTATATGAGTCGATAAGCAGTGGGGAGACTCTATTAAAGGTAATAGAAAATAGAGCCAGCTTGCTGCTTGCAGGACCCTTCTGGCTACTACAACTATGGCTAAACGCCACTTTTGAGTCTTTTTTACCTCAGAAAACTCAAATAAACGAACAAGCTCCCGAGATAGCCAAAAGGCGTATCGAAGGTACTAGGCTGGCTTTACTGACTCCCACTGAGGATGGGCTGGAACTCCAACAGACCTTTGCAAACTTTGTTTTGATGTTTGCAGGGAGGAAAGAATTTACCTCGACCATGGCTCCTTTCGCCCG